GCAGAAGGAACTTAAATGCTTTTCAACAGATGAATGGGCAAAAAGATACACACAATGGAATTTTATTAAGTTTTTTAAGACAGAAGTAATCCTATTGCATGCTATAACATAGATGAAATGAGAATATTCTGCTAAGTGAATTAAATTTGGGGAGGAGAAAAGGAAAAATGATTATAATGGGCATGCAACTTTAGTTCTTACAATAGGAAAAAGGTATAGAGATCTGTTGTCCAAAGTGTAGACATAGTTAACAGTAAAGTACACGCAAAAATATTAAGATGGAAAATTTGTTATGTACTTTTAACCAAAGGGGAGAGAGAGAGAGAAAGAGAGAGTCATTGTTTGTTCACAGTATCATGCACCCTCTTCCCAAATAGAGGGCAAGGCCAGTAGAGTACAAAACTCAAGGCCTAACCATCTCTGCCACCACCAGCACTGTCAAAACAAGCATAACATTCCCATGGAATAGAAATGACACCACACCACCAGCAGCTTCAGGCAAGCCTGGCTCCATGTCCTGAAGAAAGCCATTTGGCCTAGGGCTCTCTCTAGTTAGCTGAATGAACTAAAATTCTTCCGTGTAAAGTGAGGACCAGAGCCTGGCCAGCTAATCACACAATGAGCTGCACTGTAGTACCCTGTAGTGAAAAAATAAAGATGATGCTCCTTCCTAGAAACTCAAGGCAGTCCATTGCAACAAGAGCAACTAGCCCAAACCACACCTCAGCCCAGGCTCCGGCACTCACCCAACTGTTCCCCTAGGATAACATCTTGGGAATGCCTTAAAACTACTCTAAACTAGGGATATTGGAGGCTGGGTAGAAGCTATCCCAAAAGCAGCAGACCTCAGAGGAAGAACTATCAAAGAGAAAGGGAAAGGAACATGCCCCAAAGCCAAAACCCAGAACACTTAAAGAATTAATTCTAAAAGCTAGCCTGAATGTGGCTATAAAATGACACTCAAGAAAATTGATACTTAAAATACAAACTCAAAACGATGGAAAACACTGACCGATTATGTTAGAAATGCTTGGAGAGATAAGCTAATAACTTCCTGTGAAAAGTGAAAAAAGCCATACAACAAACACAGGAAGAAATAAATCAAGGATAGGAGGATATTAATAGAAGTCATTCAACATTCAGAAATGAGAAACACCATGCCTGAAATCACAAAACAGCTTAAAATTTGAACACAATAAGTTTGATTATTATATCATAGAAATAGCATGAAAGACTGGAAAGCATGGTTGATAGATAAAATGGATAAGGGATACAAGTCCATTTTTTTTTTTTTTAGAATTAGAGAATTATAACTTTCTGGATTATAAATTCATTACAAATTTCTAACAGGTAAAAACAGTTTAAGAACAGGAAACATGAAGTGAAAATATTTTTCCCATTTCCATAGAGATTACCTAAAAGGAAATATTAAATTGACAACAAATTCCAACATTCAATAACAGATGCCGGAAACCAATGGAATATCATTTCATGGATGCTAGGGGAAATGCCAGTCCAGTGAGCTGCTTCCAAGCAAATGAACTACAGTCAAAGGGAAAAATGGAAGGAAGCGTGTGCATAGATTCATGAGGTAGGAAATTACCTGTTACACAGAGATACTTATACAAGAAGTCACTACATGTAGATGCCCCCACAAAGAACAATGAAATATATTGTTTGGAGAAACAGTAAATACAGCAAGACTAAATTTGACATAGTCAAAAACTGTTCGTAGAAATTACTTTCTAAGTCTGGTAAAATACAATAACTCTCTACAAATAACTCATTTTAAAAATACATTAATTCAGATTGGTGAGATGGGTTTTAATAGCCGAGAAAATATTCTACAGCTCATGAGCTGTATAGAAAACAGAAATAGAAAAATATTTATCAATGTATGTAATCATGGATATACGTGAATTGAAAACTAGAAGCAATCACTCAAGGAAAAGAAATGCAGCCTAAGTTTAAAAGAATAAAAGAAAAATGGGAAAATTTCAGTGATGCAAGAGAGTTTAAAAAGATAAACACCAAAGTACGTTCAAACACGCAAAATGCAATGATTAAAAAAAAAATCTAGATAAACCAAAAACCATGTCAGATATATCTATGTCTGTATTTATATATCTATATAGTATAGATAGATATGGATACAGATACAGATGATATAGATAAAGATATAGATGTAGATAGATATAGATGATACAGATAAAGATATAGATGTAGATAGATATGGATAGATATGAATATGGATATAGATAGATGTATAGAAGAGATATAGATACGGATATAGACAGAGATGGAGATATACATTAGTTTGCCTGGATTTTGAGAACAGACTTTAACCCTTAAGCCCATCCAAGCTACCCAGCAACCAGCCCACCTTCACTGCTCTCCTCCTTTGCTCCTGCTTATGAGTGAATGAAGAGATCTCAAAGGTGGGAAGGGAACGTTATCCCAGCTTAACTCTAAACAGAAACCAGAAGACGACAGTATGGACACGATAGCATCACTGCATTCCTCTTGGACTCAGTTTCTCTAGGACTTCTTCAGTTTGTACACCACCCATCTTCCCTCCACGGATCTCTTGATGGCCTTCACTGATGTGCTCTCCTGCACTGGTCACGGGAAACAGGAAGCTGCCTTTCAAATAACTTCAAGCTTTAGTACATGGCAAACACACCCCCAGGAAAGCTGGGGCTAGCACCTGCCTTTGAATTCACCATAGGACCTCTGTGCCAGTTTCTCGTTGCAGCACACCAGACAGACAGACTGGAGTACAGAGTGCGATGTAGCCCATACACTCTGATGTTGGTCCCTATAGTCCCATTAGAGGCTGTTTAAAACCAGGATTCGCCCTGCCAGTCTGGGACAGAGATAGGACCTTGAGAGAGAATAGAACCAGCTTGCCTATGCCAGCGATGATCTCCTTAGAATTGTAGGACACTTGCTCCTGGTACCCTAGCAGAGAAAGCGCTGTGATTCTATATGTGACAAAAGCAATCTTATGTAGCGAAGCATGTAACTCAGGAGATGATTGCTGGCTTCACAAAGGTGTTGGCTTTATTTTAGAATCGCGACTGTCAAAACTGCAAGTTTCTTTAAAACCTCTCCATCCTGCAGAATTGAGATCCATGCACTTAGCTTCACTTCTAAATAAGAAGTATAGAAAGAATACAACTCTGAAAACTGAATGAACCTGCACCCTGCTTTGCCGCATCCATTCTATACACAAATCACTGGCCAATAAAATCAACTCTAGTTCAATGGCCTTACAGCTTCTATGCCATCACATCTGATCCTTTACATGCTTATTCAATCTTTAATACCATCCCCAGGTCATCTCCATATTTTTGTTTTTTATCCCAGTCAATGTTTGTGTTACTGCTGTTTAGCTAACTAGAATTATTCAACATAGTACCATTCCTTACTCTTATTTTGATTTTTCTATTTTGAATGAATTTGTAAGGGATTGGGGCCATAGCGTAGTGGTAGAACACTCGCCTAGCATGTGTGAGGCCTAGATTCAATCTCTGCTGCTAGGGAAAAAAAAAAAACTTAAAGAAAAATTTAAAAGGACTTCCTGATGATTTTACATGAAAGCTATTAGTATATCTAACATGATGCATGAAAAAAGAATGCTTGTTACTTAAGCTGAAAATGTTCCTATCTCTAAATGTTATTTCGATCACCAACTTGAAAATGTGTGCACATGTATGCCATATATAAGTGGACATGCAGATCTGAATATACTCAGAAGTAGACTGTATACTTTGACCTTTCAAGTTATTTTGTGTTTTAACTAACACAGTAATTATACGTATTTACGAGAGACCATAGCAATAACGGCAAACAATATATAACAATCCCATCAGAGTAACTGGCCTATCTGCTACCATGATATTTATTATAGGTTGTAGGGAACATTCATATGATAGCAGCTTTAATATAATATATGATGACAGTTATATTGATAATAAACAAGTATAATGTATGAGATTCTCACTTAATAGTTATGTGAAGTCTATTATGGCTATTCAGTGTTTAACGTACAACTGGGAAACACAGGTGAACTTCCTAGACAGTCTGTGCAATGACCAAGATTACAGAATGAGTAGAACTCCTTAGCTGTGATTTTTCAAAACGATAATTTTTATGAATCACAAACAGGCCATTCCCATATGAAAAACATAAATTATTCAGAAAAGCTACATCTTTTCAGTGCATGAATTAAAACTTTTGAGACAGAACAACCAGGATAATGCTAACTTTAAAATGTTTCTTATATGCTTAAAAATGTGTCCATTCTCACAGTATAGCACTGGCACTATACACTTAGTTATTTGTAGATTTGAAGAGATATTATATAAAAGAGGAACCAACACCAACCCTTTCTTTAAAGGTCCAGAAATTAAGATAAAGTGGAAAAGTTATTTGTACACACACACACACACACACACACACACACACACACACACACAATGCTGACATGTGCATAATACACTAAAGTCATTGTTCCTAATCCAGAATTCATTACACAAATCCATTTTCTTTAAATTAGATAACGTCTGTAAATTAGAGAATATGACACACTGGACACTCCATGGACTTATGAAGCACAAACAAAAGCAAAGTCTATGAAAATTATTTCTCTATGATAAGATAAAGAAGACCCTCTATAAGCCATCTGTCCTTGAAGGGGAGTTAACAAGGGAAAGAGAGAGTGTCTTACTCCTTGAATTGAACAGACAGGTAAACTCCAAACTTCATTCTCTGAAAGTCAAAACTAGATGTAAAAATACATAACAATGAAAGTACCTGGTTCATTTTCACTCATTGGCACATGATTTTTAACACCCAAATGGTAAAATCTTTTCTGTAGTCCTGAAAATCAGTTTTAAAATATAGGGTGACATCAGTTCCTTAAAACAATGATTGCTTCACACACACACACACACACACACACACACACACACACACACACACACGGAGGTACTTACTGAGCTGTAAAGATAGCCTTCCCCATTCATGGCCACATAGAGGCTGGCCTTCACGCCTTGGATGGCCACCACACGCAGTCCCACAGGAATTAGATTGAAGAGGGCTAGAAGAAGAAGAAAAAATGACAGGTCATGATTAGTGACCTTGCAAATAAACCATCTTGCTCTTTACAATGTCCTTAAAATTTTCAGTGTTAAAATCTGTTTATTGGAAACAGCATGGAAAGAATGATGGAAAGGGAGAGGGAGAGGAAGGGAGAGAGGGAGAGACAGAGAGAGGGGGAGGAATGGAGGGGGAATTAAAACAAGGGTAACTACACTACCTTGGCTTGTCTCTACAACACCATCAATGACTCACAGAAGTTCTAGTGAGAGGCGTGACTCAACCGGTACAAAAATGCTAGATTAGAAGAACTTTAAGCGTCTCCATGGGTTGGAGTGTCTAGAATCCCTGCTCCCCAAAATAAACATAGCAAGTATTACAGGATATTTTTCTAACACACAACTTGAAGCAATAACCTCTCAATAATAAAAGCAACCATTCATCCTAAGTAACAGTAAAATACAACCATTAGAACATGAGAGAACCTGTTTCTGTCTTCCTGCTGTGACCCTGAAAAGGTCTTGAGCACAGACAGTGACTACGCTCATGGACTAACATGGAGCAACAGTGGGGAGACCTTGTCTAGATATTTTGAACCTTTGCATGAAAATGAAGATATAATAATAAATGATGCGGTGGTGTGAATGAGAATGGCCGCAGATGCCCATATATGTGTATGCTTGGTCCCTTGTAGGTGGACTGACTGTGTGAGGAAGGATTAGGAGGTGTGGCTTTATTGGAAGAAGAGTGGTGTGTCACTGGGGATGGACTTTGAGGTCCCAAAAGCCCATGCCAGGTCCAGTCTCACTCACTCTGCCTCCTGCTGGTGGATCAGATGTGAACTCTCAGCTACTGCTCCAATGCCATGTCCACATGCTAGCTGCTCTGCTCCCTGCCATGGTGGTGGTCATGGACTCACCCTCTGAAACTGTGAACAAGGTCCCTATTAAATGCTTTCTTTTATAAGTTGCCTTAGCTGTGGTGTCTCTCCCCAGCAACAGAACAGTGACTAAGACAAGTGGACAGGCAATTTATAGTTTGAGCAACAACACATAGATGTCATAGCTAAAGAAAAATATACTATATAAAACATCCGAGTTGGCAAGTTGATCGAAACCACCTAAAATCAAACAGAAATATTGTCTTTATGTGTTCAAGTTGCCTGTAACCCAAAATACTAAGCTAATGTATCCACTCAGAGGATAGCGAATGCATTGACCAGAAAAGACAAAGACTATACCCTCTGCTCCTTCTAGCAATTTCTTATTGTGAAGTATATGTCACGGCCCTGGGTCCAGTTGCTTTTGAGGTTACAGAATGAGCATCAGCAGAAATGTGACCCTGGAAATATTTGCTTCACATACAAGAGGAAAGCAACCAGCCACCTAGTTCGACTCTATAGATGGCATTGCAGGGAGACATTAAATATCACATGACTACATTTGTAACAAGAATTCCTTGCAGTTCTCTTTAATAAAAGGACTAGCAGAGCTCATCCACCCTCTCTACAGATAAAATTCCTTCAGTTCTGATATTGTCAAAGTTTAACAGAGTATGCCCATCAGTTAACCCAATTGCTTCCACCTGGGTTTTTTCAATGAGACAGTAAGCTATCTGCACACACAGCACAGACACAAGCATGTACAGTGTTTGGATTTTAGTCAAGTGTTTGGTTGAGACTTGCAGAGGATCAAGTCTTAGACTACAGGTTTCCTGGAACAGGACTGGATTCCTAGTTGCTGACACTGGCTCCTTGAACCTGTTTTCTCATTTGTCCTGGAAATGTAGACTCTGTTATAACTGTTGCTTAAGGATTAATTGTTGATTCAGTTTAGAGCTGAGCTAATTTTAGTTCTTCCTATAGGCTCCACACTGATCTTGCACATTTTAAATTGCTTAAGAAATATAAGTCAGTCTGCTTAAGGAGACAAAGTTAAGATACACGGAGTAACCTAATACAGTGTACTATTTATTTCTATAATCAAATGACTACATGCTTCTCTGTATATAGTTTGTATGTTATGGAAGTTCAGGGGAAAACATGGAAGATCTTTGTGGCCTGAGGTATATAGGAAATGTTTTAAACGCAGAACACAAGACTGAAACTGGCCCTTAGGAAAAGAGAAGAAGGTTGGGGTTCATTCTTGGGAGACATAAGAAAGCACAACATGTAAATAAACAAGCACCTTTCTAATCATAGAGATTTGGGTTTTACCAAATGGACAAGAGAAGTATGACACATAGGACTTCAGCAGCAACACAGACAAAAAGATGAGAGTTTTGAAGGTGGATGTTTCTAGACAAGCCACTCAGAGTCACGTGGCTTTGAGCTCCCTACACCCTTCATGTGTTGTTTTCCTACCTGTAAAGGTGGGATAACAATACAGTGTGCAAGTCTACACACACACACACACACACACACACACACACACACACACACACACACACTGTATTATGCTCTTAAGAGTATCTCACAAATAGAGTTATTTAATATTAACAGTAAATAGTGCCTCTTGTGTATGTGGATGATGGATGTGCATGGGGGGGTGCACACATGCCACAGTACACATGTGGAGGCCGGAGGGCACCCCCGGGAGTCTGTGCGCATCTTCTACCTTATTCTGAAGCAGGATCTCTGACTTGTTCCCAGCTGCTTCCACCAGGCTCTCTGGTCTGCAAGCCTATAGGTTTTATTTCCACCTCCCATCTCACCACAAGAGCTCTGGGATTAGCTACACATTCTCACACCCAGCTTCGTATGGGTTCCAAGGATTCGAACTCAGGTTCTCACATTTGTACTCCAAGCACTTTACTCACTGAGCCATCTCCCTAGCCCAATATTGAATAATTCTCATAAATTATGATCTGACATAGATTAAAAAAAATCAGCATAGTTCCTTAGTAATTTTCTTAGTTTATACTCAGCACCTTGTTTAGTGCTTCAAAAGATGACCTTCCATATCTGTGCATTTTCAAGATGCCTATAAACTCATATTTGATCCTAAACCATAAATGGCATGAGGAATTTCTGGCAGAATGAGGATTGCATCCATTTTTGTTTGTTTGTTTTTGTTTTATTTTGCTTTTTGTTTGGTTGGTTGGTTGTTTTTGGAGACAGGGTTTCTCAGTGTAGTTTTGGTGCCTGTCCTGGATCTCACTCACCAGGCTGGCCTCGAACTCACAAAGATCCGCCTGGCTCTGCCTCCCGAGTGCTGGGATTAAAGGCGTGTGCCACCACTGCCTGGCGGGTTGCATGGGTTTTTAAGACAAACTAATTCAGAGAGGTAACTGAGGTGACAGTGATGCTAAACAGAGGGTTTCTAGGTCACTGGTGTAGTTACCTGTCTAAAAACTGTGTTTCTTCTTGGTACCATTTGAACTTTAATTCCCAAGGCTCTCTGGACTTATCTTCTGACAAACCAATATGTGTCTCAGATGATTTTCCTACATGTTCTATGGCTAGAGTTAGCTCTTACAGACTCACTATTTGACACAGCTAGACAGATCTGGAGATGTTTGAAGAACCCTTCCCAAGAAACAAGATGGTTTCCTTCACTACCTCTTCTCAACATTTTGTCTTACTGTTGTTTTAGTGGGGAAGAGTGCAGCACCTGGATCACCTCAGACTTAAAAACAAAGGCTGCTCCCAAGCGAGTGATAGCTGAGGAGTGGAAGAAGCAGAGTCCCTGAGAGTTCTGAGAGTGTGGCAGCCGTCCAGCACTCAATTACTAAACCTTGCTTCTAGGAGAGAAAACGGTCCTTATTGCTTAAGTCTATGTAATGCGAAACCTTCCCTAATCCTGACTGAGATTGCTAATGAAAGCAGAATTAGTGTGCAAAGCACAGACTAAATGCAAGGTACTTATGTATTGTAAATAAAAGCATCTGCTGGGAAATAACAAATTAAATGATGGTCCTTGTGAGAATGAATGGGGAGAAAAACCGAGAAAAATGATCCCCTAAGGAAGAGACTTCTCGGTCAAAAGCTTGGCTGGTGCAGCTGAATTGGAGGGAAAAAGCCATTCAAAGGCTTCCCCTCCAAGAGGGGCTTAAGGAAAGTACAAATACCACTGAGGTGCTAGCACAAACTGAGAGAGTCCTCTATCAACCAAAAGGTGATGACGGCTCTTAGGTGGAATGCTTCTGGAGACAGCCCTTACTGCAAAGATTCAGTAAACAACTTTAAATAAGACTTTTCAGTGTTAAGAACTAAAAAAAAATCTATTCATCTGGGCTCGGAGATAGGGCTCAGCACTTCAGTATTGCTTTTGCCTTACTCAGGAGGAAGTTTCCCAGTACCCATGTCAGGCGATCAAAACCACCTTAGATCCAGCTCAAAGGATTCCACACCTTTTCCTACCACCTTGGAAGCCTGAATACATGGGAATGCACACATATGCATGCACACGCACACACACACACACACACACACACACACACACACACACACACACACACACAAAACACAAAATTAACAATAAAATAAATGTTTAAAAAAATTCTCTAATGAAAGGTCTCCATCTTGCCCCCTAAAATCTCAGAAAGTGGCAAGAGCCTTACTTCTACCTCATCTAGAGTATATGCAGGCTCACAGAAGTCTTTCACTATGGCTGAGGATTACTACTGAATGTGATCTTCATCCTTAGTCCCCTTAGTAACAAGGCTATTGGACTCCACCTCATTCTTCAGATTCGTAGCATCTGCTCTTGGCATTTTCTTGCTAAAAACCTCTACTGTTTCCTCTGTCCCCATCTCTTACAACCTGACACCATCCTACATTTATACCTTATCACCTGTCACCCACTCCGTCCACCATAATTAGAAAAATACAGCTTTTTGCCATTTCCTAACTTCCTCTTGGCTTTTAGCTAGAATTGGTTTTGACTTCTTTTTATCTTCTGTCTCTTCCTGGAAAGACTGTCTTTCCACTTGTAAATGTAGATAATCCTTTTCATTTGGTTTTTAGAGGTGTGTTTGTGTCTATGTGAATGCACACCATGT